TTGGCAGATTTAAAATAGATTGCCTTGCAGCCCAACAAGCATTATTAAATACATAGATCAATATTTACAATATCTGTATTAAATGCTAAGGCTGATATTCATGATTGTGAATTATTTACAATCTTTGATTGAAAGTATAATCAATTACAAATTTATATATTTATGGGTTGCTATTCGGCTGTTTGAATCAGTATTTCTTGTTATACTGAATAATGTAATGAGCCCAGGTACAGATTAACGAATGATCGAGAATTAATAAAACTATAATTATTGATCAAATAATGTCGAACTATGAAAGTTAGCCTGAGTTTCAGCCCGGATATCTCGTTATTTTTATCAAACATCCATTCAAGAAAAAATTTCGCTTTTTTTTAAATTACGACTTTACACGCGTCAAAAGTATAAAACTGATGCGTTACAAATCCTAACCACTAAACATTTAATACAGATCAATAATTAATACCCATTTGAAGACATATGCAAAATATGAAAACCGATGTCTTTCGTACTTACAGGATTAGGCTGTTCGATCATTACTCCGCAGAAGGACGATTTAATATCTCTCGAAAGCACAATAATTTTCCCTTTCCAATGGTCTTTGTTTCAAGTCGCCACGACGTCTACAAGCGGAGTTATGGACGATTGTGTCGATCCGCGCTCCAGATTTTTCGGCGTTATCGCCGCAGCGAGCGGTGAATCAGTGCGACGCGACGCGTGAATGGAATGCGGCACGCGACTATAGGTCACCTTACACTGCGAGTGAAAGTAGGCTCGCGGCGTACCCCCCACTCCGCGGCTCAGATAAGTCGTCCCCCCTCCTCTTCCCCCACTTGTTCGCTACGGCCGCGCGGTTGTTCACCTCTCTTTACGAGCGTAGTGCGTCGGCGCGAGAGCAAGCGCCAACGTCGCATGAGCGTGAATCTCGCACGAATCTAACGTCGATACCGCGGCTTTAAACGTCTGTAACTCGCGAATAAGTCGACGTAGCGACATTAAATAAAAAAACAAATCTCTTCACGACCGTACTCTATACCGCTTTCTTATTGTTCATTTGGAAGAGTTTAGTGGGATTGAGATTAGTGCTGCAATTCTAAACAGAATCGAAAGTCTCGTAACTTGTTCTCGTAAAATACGTAAGAAATTATGAGTAGATTTACAATTCTATGCAATATTATATGTCGTACAATTACTTGTAAATATCTACGATTTCATGTAATTTACGATATTTACAAGTGATTGTACGACATATGATATTGCATACAATTGTAAATCTACTCATAAATTCTTACGAATTTTACGAGAACAAGTTACGAGACTTACAAATCTGCTTAGAATTGCAGAATAAAGCACACGATAACACAAGCAACATACGATCTTTTTCATTCCGCGTAATGACGTTGAGGTACAATCCACAAAGAAGCCTGGAGCCATTTACTGAAGCTGATAATCTTTTTCATTCACGACCGAATTGTTTAGATCTATTTCTTCGTCTATAGACAAGTCTATTGTAACGTTGATTGATTAATATAATTACTATGGATCAAAACGAAAGAATAATTATCTTGTGCCTACTTGCAAAATGGTAAAAGACTGTTCAATTTCATGAGTTCTTTACTCGCACACCAATATTGTATGCGACATACACAAGTTGTGTCAGACATTCTGTATACATTCCAATGCTAGTAAAAAAATATATAATAAAAAAATTGTGAAGGATAAAACTTTTGTTGTGTACTTTATATATCCATTAATTATACAGAGTGTCCAAATTCAGGTGTGCATGCAGAATTTGTTAAATTAAATAGAAAAAAAATTCTGTACCATTTTATATAGACTCTACTACAGTAATCATGGAAATATTAATCTAAAAAGATTAATCAACGCACACAATGCAAAGGAAACTCTATAAGATTAATTCTTTACAGAGTCGATTGCTCGAAATTCACGTGCTTCTAAAATATTTAGAATTAGCTTTTTTAGTTACTCTAAGTTAAATTACAAATAAATGTGCGCTTTTAATTTCAACTAATAAAATTATATCTCACAATGAAATATATATTATCTGTAAAAGCTAACTGTTAATAATGATAACGAAACGATTAGTCTTTTAGCAAAGTTCGAATTAGTCATGAGATTTACATAGCTGATATTGCTAAGGGTCGATTTTTCAACGTCTTGGTAAGCTAACTAACAGTTAAAATAAAATGTGTCTATTATTGTCTAATTTGAAGGAAAAATAATATATGATCTAAATGTTTCTTTGTACGCAGAATATTAAGATAAATACTAAATAATGCTGAAAAAAGCTTTTCTTCAAGCACATTTTAACACGAAAAAAAGTTAAATAAACATTTATTGCGTCAAGGACAATAAATTATGCACAGAAAAAATAATATAATAAAAAAATAGTAGTAATTGAAATTATATATTATATATACACACACACACACAATATATATAAAAAACATTCAAGTTAAAAAAAACATTTAAAATAAAACAATTTTGTAGTAATTTTGTAGAAAGTTAAACATATTTAAATAAATATACAGTAATTTCGGTCATAACCTTATATGGTCCAGAATGAAAAGAAATTTTGCTGTACATTTTGCTATATTTTTTCTGTGCGCAGTTTCCTCTGAGACAGAATTTGTAGTCATCCATGAATGGAATTATCTCTATTAATGCTAAACGATCTAACGCTAACGGCTAAAGAACAATTCAGTAATTGGTGCGATACGTGCTCTGTTAACTACGAGTGGCGGGATTTCACGCCTCGATGAAACACGTGAATCTGGAGCGCCATTCAGTCCAGATTCTTCAATTTTACCGAATATTGAGCGAAAGACGTAAAATCAGAGTGACTTCAATCGCATTGTTCGCCAGGTTTATTTATGTTTGATGCAAGCGCGCATTGATTTCCATAAGAGAAAATAAATATAGTAATACCATTTTGCATATGTCTCTAACGGTTTAGGTTTTCTCGCTCTTGGAAAATTAAACACAGCGGAGATCGCTTTTGTACACGCGCGTTTCGCTCTAAAGCACTTTGACGGTCAAACGTTCTCATCGGCGCCTTATCAGAAAATATGCAAAAGCTGTTATGCTTAGCGGAACGTATAACTAAGCAGCCTCGTATGGCGCGCCGAATACGAAGCGTAAATATTTCTTGCTATAAGTGGCGTGCTAAGATTTCACACGCGCGTTCAACCCAGACTGTTATGCGTCTAAAACTCACGTACATGATAATGAACGTCTCGGGTGCGCTATCAATGAGCAAAAAATACTGTGGAAGTGCGTGCTTTAGATTTCGCTCTTTTTCCCAAAAAAATTAATCCCAATCACCTCGATAAAAACAGACCAATTGTATAGTTAATTACAAATTTGTATTCATGGATAATTATTCGATTTTTTTATCAATTTTTTTATCGTTTCTTATACATGGAGAGAATATTATAATAAAAAATTACGTTAAAATTATATATTTTTTCCATAATAATTTTTTTAAACTGAATTGTACTAAAATCGTAATATATAAATCACTAAAGAAATAATAAATTTGATGATCTACTCTAAATATCTCAAAAATAAAAAAATATTTTTCACAGATAGTACTAATAGTACGTCTTTAGGAGAATATTTTCAGCATGTTTTCTCATTCGAAATAAAGTTTCTTTCTCAATGAAATAATACGTATGTTAGTACAAGTACATATTTTTTATCAGTGTCCACCGAATAAATATTTTTTTATTTTTTAGAAACTTTTTTCTCAATGCGCTACACCAAAATGTTTGTGATCTTGGATTATACAGAATTATGACCAAAATTACTGTATATTTGTTTAAAAATATTATGCATGTTTGACTTGTTATTTCCAAATTATTGTAATTACCTGAATGTACATGTACTATATATACATATACTATATGTATATATAAATATATGACGCGTGTTTCTCCAAGTAACACGCCCGTCTCGGGAACTCGTAATTTCAGGTGCGAAAACATTGAACGGTGAAAATAGTCGGGCTCACCGCGGCGCGAGGACTCAAAAGTGTTCCCGATCGGTTGCCGGCTCGGTCGCACGGACGGTGCCACTCTGGAGGCTCCCGACCCATTTCGAAAGGGACGGTTGTCGCGTCTCTCACTTTCTATCCCGAAATTCACCTCGATAAACCAGTCCACTCGACGTGCTTCCGCGGAACAACGGGACGATGTCGCCTATGTATCGGACGAGTAGCGTGTTTAAAAATAAAGACTATCCACGAGAGAGCAAAAGAGCGAGAACGAGAGAGGGAGAGAGAAAGAGAGAGAGAGAGAGAAAGAGAAAGAGAAAAAGAGAGAGGGAGAGTGCGAGCTATCTGCCTGGCGCGTACGGAAGAATGCTTTCCTGCTCCGATAATCGAACCGAATCCGACACAATCGCGGTCGCGTTCTACGCGCGCGATAATAGGGCCTCGTGCGATTATTATAGCCGACGCGTAGGACGAGTCGATGGTTGTTCGATGCGCGCCCCGTTCGGCAAGCGAGCGATCGAAACGTCCCGCGTCATTAGCGGCGGACGATCGCGGCCAATGAAAGCGCCGGCACGCATCCCATTACCGGTGATCGTAAGAGCTGCACGTACAGCACTCTCGATTCGACGCTCGCGACGAACCAGGGAACGAGAGAACGCGTCGTCCTCTCGGAACGAACAGCCGCAATAAAAGCGCACTCATCGCCGCGCGCCTTCGGCCGTCCTGGCTCGCCCGCGTGAAAACACTCATTGTAAACAACGTCGTGAAAATATGGCGATCTCTTCTCGCCACGGAACACGCGAGAGAGATCCCTCGCGTCTTCCCCGCTCGCGTTCCGCTCGCGAGACGCGCAAGGAACGGCGAGCCTGCGACGTTTCCCAGACGCGGAAACGCGATGACAAGTGGACTTTTCGGGGATCGGAGCGGAGACCGCGCGGGAGCGCGAAAATGAGGGAAGAGAACCAAAACAAGAAAAGTATTTACTCACTTCCTCGGCCGTGCGGCTCGCCCAGGCAGGATGCGCCGACGATGGAATCGAGATCGTTCCCGGTGGAAGTGCGCGCGACACGTCGCTGTCTGTCTTCCTTCCTCCTTGTGTCTTTCCTTCCTTCCTTCCTTCCTTCCTTCCTTCCTTCCTTCCTTCCGTCCGTTCCTTCCTTCTTTCCTTCCTGCCTCCCTTTTCCGGTCGTCTGTCTGTACGTGCGTAACGTACAGGAGTAAAAACGCCGATGTACTTCCGTCTGTTCGCGCCCGCGTCGAGGAGAGCAGCTCCTTCGCGCGAGGAACGACAACGGCGGCACCGAACGAACGAACCGAACGACCGGTCGATCACGAGAGCGCGCTCGATGAATAACAGCCGGCGACGATCGACGATCGGCGCGTGCAAGGTCCAATTTTCGCGTGCGTAAGTGCCGCGGGAAGCGGAGCGTACGTGCGTACGTACGCACACTGTACTGTATTTGCCGTGCGTGCTTGCGTGGACGCGCAGCCCGACGAGAGGAACTCGCGCGCACGCGAGGAACGCGCGATAATAAGTCGACGACGGCGGTGGCGCGGCAACGGCAGCTGCGGCGATCGGCGCGACGTAGCTGACCGTGGTGTATCTTTCTTTCTCTCTCTCTCTCTCTCTCGCTCGCTCGCTCGCTCGCTCGTTCGCTGGCTCAGCGTCGGTGCATGTCCCCGCCGCGCAGGCAGCCGCCAAGTGTCACTGGCACGTACGCGATCGAAACAACTTGAGTCGGCGCGCGAACACGAAACGAAAGCATCCACACCGCTCGGTGGTTCCGACGCAACTGCCGCCGCGCTGCGCGCGCCTCTACGAATCGCCGGCGCGATTTCCCGAATTACCCGTCGGTCAGTGCGAGCGCGACGAGCTGCTCCGCCGATTTGTAACAACGCCGTGCTCGGTGCACCGTTAGCGACGCTCGTCGGTATCTCTATTAACTTCTTCTTTTTCTTGTTAATAATGGGCGACCATTGGAATCCTGGAGACCGATTAAAGGTTATTTCCATTGTCGAAAAGGAATCCAATCTCTCCCTCTTTCTTTCTCTTTGGATATATAGCTGCAGGCGCCTACAAGACGTCTGCCCCAAATTAACAGTGTCTAGGTTATACGGATGATATCATTCATAAGTAAAAATTTGCAGGTTAAGTTTCAACCATTCAACACCAAAAGGAATCTAACGAAACGATCATGATGACGACCATGATGAGGTGATTGCGCATTTCGACAATGCAAGTAACATGAAACGACTCGACTGGATTCGATACGATTCGATTCGATACGATTCGATTTGATAGTAGTCGCGAGAGTGAGACCATTCGATTGTTTGAATTCGTTGGGAACATCCTTTATAGAAATATCATACTAAGAATCATTGATAATTACTTATTTTCAGTATTAAAAATACTGGATAATAAGTAATTATCAATGATTCTTAGTATGATATTTCTATAAGGGATGGCTGACACAGTACAAACAGTAATGAGCAGAAGTGCCTTGCGAGTTAGATGCATAGAAATAATTAGTAAATACGCAGGTATGTAACCCTCAATAATATAGAAATCGCTAGAATATAAATTGTGATGCAGGTTGAGCGCTCTATAAGTAATTACGCTTATCGTAATTACTCGAATTTCATGCTTCGAAACTTTGTACAAATAAAATTAAAAGATTAATTGTCAGCTGACAAAATACTGTAAACACAGATGGTAAATACATATTTTAATTAAATTTAACTGATGCAGTTGATAAAAACGAAGTTATTAAATTACACGGTTAAATTTAAATCACATTTCTGTTCTCACTCAAATTCGAAATCATAACAGCGTAATTACTCGTAGGACGCGTGTATATAACCAATAAAACCAAACAGATATAAATAACGCGTATGAAATACACGAAAACATTCGTGTGGACGCAGATCTCGTCGACGAAATGTATGAGACGTGCGAAATTAACTGTGGCGTTATTTTTATACTTTCTTGCGATTCTGCGTGTGTTACTTAATTATATATACGTATAATAGATGTACAACGATATACGAAGCATAAAGTCAACCAAAATAAGAATCAACTTTGACAAATAAATTAAATCTTCTAACCAATATAACGGATATATGGTTCGCAATAATACTCGCACGATATTGGTTCTTTTCATTTTATTGTACCAAAAAATTGCATCTTCAATCCATCGTTAATTCAATATAATATATTTATCATTTATATATATATATATATTTGTTATATCTTATTTATAATAAATATTTGTATAGTAGCGTAATGTTCATCGTTTGTCAATGCTTATTGTGTTCATGAACCATGAGAACGTGGATTCAGCGAGTTCGTAATCATCGTCACTGTGCTAACTAGAAAGACGTTCTGTGTGATTGGTCAGATTCGGGAAATCTGTCTGGTAAAGCACACACACCAGATCGTCGTCTTTATTTATTTATGTTTTCGTCTTATCTCCGTTTTGCTTTCTCGTTTTCTTTTTTTGACTTTTTCGGAAAGGCCGGATTATATCGAGATAAATTCTCTCCGTTTTGGCATGACTCTTGTCGTCGATAGTTTCTTTCTGCTGGCGGAGCCAGCGTCTTACACAGACGATTCATACATCGAAACAATAGGTACCTAAGGAAATTTTACATCTAGCTTTAAGGCGCCCGTTCCCTTAAATTCGTCCTTTAGAATTGTCTCGCACCGAATTCTCTACAGCGCGAATCCGAGAGTAAAACGAATCGCTCGCCTGTTTTCACAGCGATATACGCCGCTGGAACAGCTAATGCGATAGGAATCACGCGAATTCTCGGCTCGACGTTCATCATGTCGAGATACATTCGTCAGCCTGTCGGAGATGATTTCTAAAGCTCGTTAATTGACGAAACACTCGATATATCTAACGTTGGACCTGAGAAAAGAATGAATTTCAAACGACATTATGTCGCGCTCTGTCTCTCTCTTTCTCTATCCTGTATCAGTTTTTGGATTACGTGTCTCACTCCGTAATGAATTTTTTTGCATGCAAGCTTCCGAGCTTTAGCAGAGGAGTGGCATCATGCGTTTCTGTATGTGAATTATTTCTCAGCTTATTATTTTTCGCGCTTTAGCGCGCCATCATAAATTAAAAAATCTCACAGTTTCACGAAACCCTCGACGATGACACACACACACACATACCCAAATAGAAATGTAATTAGACAGTCAAAAGCTAGTATCTAGCTAGTACAGACTAGATGAAATTTTCTAACTCATTACCAACTCATTACTGGCTGATCATTCGCTGAGATATAGAATCGACTTTGTGATCTAACCGTTGTCTAGCCATTATATATCAAATACATGATAGAGCAGATGAGCATTATTCTAAAATATATAATATAACTATTATATCACCATTAGCATTTTAAAATTAGACAACAAATCAAAATTAAAGATACTGTAATTCCACACGGAAAAAAAGGTTTGGTTGAATTAATCAAATATCTGATCGAATATGAACAATCCAGAAATTCCAATTGAAAAAACCCGAATTCTGTTTAAGTCAACCAAAAATCTTGTTAACTTAAACAGAATTCGGGTTATTTTAATCGGAATTTCTGGATCGTTCATATTCGACCAGACATTTAGTTAATTCAATCAAACCTTTTTTTTATATAAAAGTCTCAAAGAAGCAGAATTGAGCGTTACATTATTAGCTAGAAATTACCTATTGTTTTTCATCTCATAACTAATTTCGTTTGTTTAATAGACTCACTTGTCTAGCCGCTAGAAGTGAGCGTTACATTGCTGACTAGTGGTGATGCCAGGACATAAATTTACTATCTCGTGCCTAGACACCGACGTGCTTCCATTTCTACCAGGGTACGTGTTCGGTAGGTGTCCAACGACGAGAGCTTCGTGGAAACTGAAGTGAAAGGAAAAGAAAAGAGAGAAATACCTGTCAAAACTCGATCTCGTTACGCGCGCGCTCGTACCATCTCCGAAATGTCGCTCGCATCGATTCGCCGTGACTAATTCAAGGGTAGCGGGTCCTTCACGAGCCGAAGCAGCGCAGCTAATTACCATATATCGTAAGAAAATATATGTACCTCTACAGACACCAATAATTCGATCTCACGATTGTACATGGAACATAGAAACGGTTCCCGAACAAATCACCTCCGAACGCGTGTGCTCCAAAAACCTCACCGTCGCGTCATACTACATTAGTATCTGTTCTTTTTTTTTTTTAATTCTTTTATAAAGCTTTATACTTTTTTAATCCGGTTAATTAACGGATATCTCGTCGATTCCCCGTAAGAAACCCTGCAGTACAGCAGTCTTTGCGCCAATTATCCTCGAGAGCTCTTTTTTTTTTACTCGCGACTGTCGTCGTACTCGTCGCGAGCGTTGAACAGCAAGTCGAATCGAACACATTACGAGGTGCGCGGATTGTTTGTTTGGTTCTTTGTATACGTCATACACACCGGCAAGAATTTTGGTTTTAATAGCTCTCTCACGGTCATGCTCTTCTTTCGCGATGTCGTCTCGAGTCGGTTATGGCAGTGACTAGGAATCACTGGGGAAAACGTGACTTACTGCAGAGTTAATGACGATCGTCGCGTCACTATCGCGAGTTACACAACTCCTTAGCTTTATACGTCGCTACAACATGTGTGTTACGTTCGAAAAAAAGGGTCTGTGCTACCAGCGATATCGAAATCTATATCGAAAGAGTACGCGTCTCATTCGCGTCCCAATCGAAGGATCCGCGAAGATATCGAAGATCCTTCAATCTCCCAACTTCTTCGCGGCGCGCACTGGACGATATTTCCTCTTTTGTTGATTCTTCCTCTAACAGTCCGCGTTTGCTATTTCGTACAACACTGTTTCTGGATCCTCGTCTTACCTGCTGTCGTCTTATTTGCACGATAGTCTAGACTTTAAATATTTGATATTTGTAAATGCAAATGAGACGGGATTTTTTTTCAGGTTTCTCGGCGCGTGGTATATCTTTATAGGTTTTTACGACACTCAGTCATGCCTGTCTTTCCATATATTGTAATTACACGTGATGCAAAACACGTCGTAGTGCGGGCCGCCAAGAAAATAACTCCTCTCACGTTTTATACTTCCCCTTCTTTCTTTCTCTCTCTCTCTCTCTCTCTCTCACTCTCTCCCTCTCTCTCTCTCTCTGAATTTATCACCATATACTTGAAATATTAAATTCTTATCATTTCCAGGTGCATAAGCGAGCACAAACTTGTTATTCGGGAGAGTACGTCCCCTTCTTTTCTCTGACTCCTTCTCTCTCTCTCTCTCTCTCTCCGTGATGAGTCGTATTTAATTAGATCGTATTTATTTTCTACTAACGCGATTCCGCCTGTTCGCGGCGATAATTTTTCATGTTACTGAGCGTAAAACTCATCAACGCGTTACTTATTCCGCACGGATGCCGTAGAGAATGGTCTCGCTTATCTACGTGGAAACGGTTAAGGTATGCTCTCGCACACTCGGTGAGTAATGTAAGCAGTAATAACACACGTGGAAGTCGTCCATTACGTTGAACGTCGATATCGCTCAAAGCAATAGTACCGTCGCGTAAATATTCAGTGGACGAGACGATTTGACGAATAACAGAAGTATCGCGGAATTTGCACGATCTAAACCAACGTTGCGTGTGCTTCTATATGTATGTATATATATATTTGTATATCAATTAATTGTTTCAATCTCACAATTACCGAACGTCGCGAAAAGAACGAGTGTTTCTACTTGCACTCGTTGCGTCATATAAAAAGAAAGGGAAGAAAGGAGACAACAACCGACTATCGCTTCGTGACAATATCGACGTCCACGGTCTAATTTGTAGTAAACGTACGGTCGGATCGTTAGATCCGATCGTTCTAATCGCTGGACCTAAGCTGGGAGATTGGAGAGTGGCCTGTCGTCCGATCCTCGGCTGAGGACAGAGCGGCGAAAACGAATTGCTATCGCAGTCGTGACGAATAATTGCGAATCAGCTGTCGGAATCGGGCAAGTTACATACAAGAATCCGCGTCGTCGTTGTCGGGCAACTAGTTTCGTGCGATCGCGCGACTTCGATCAACCGTTATTGCAAACGCGCCTACCGCCTCGTGCCGTCGTCTCGGCACATGTTAGATAACATTGACGATATATAATTACGAACGAGTAGCAAAAATATTGCCATTTCCCTGTCGCGATAAAGATATCTGAAAGTGGAGAGAGGCATGCGCGCGCGAATACATTCCCTCTCAATTATCTAATTCAACGTTGATACCGCGCGGAAAAGAAAGACGTCAAATCAGGAAACGTGCTCCGCCGGCGGAACGAGAAAAATAGCTGACGTTTATTATCATTGTATTCGCCTCATGTGGAATCTCCCTTTCTTTTTCCCTGCCTCCCTCTCTCTTTCGTTCTCTGTCGAAGGAATACAGGCTCGAAGAGTTTTCTCTCCGATAAGAAGCGTTCTACATCTCCCTACGTTGTTTCGAGATCGAAAGAAACGTTAAAGCGACTGAATTAAAATGATCGAAACACCCGACTGTCTCGGCTCCGAGTACACCTCGTTCACGAGTCTCCAATAGATCGCAACGCCAATTGACGATCCTCGCGAAACTCAGACTGCAGACCGCGCGGTCTGTCGCGCATCTCTCGTCGCATCGCAAAATCGTGGAGAATCCGTCGGAAACGTTCGCTGTGCAGATCTCTCGTCAGCCGCAATCATCAGCTGTATCGCCCTCGCTAGACGAGTCCCTCTCGCCCTTATTCGAATATCAGCACAACTCTGGCGAGAACACGTGGCAACGCGCTCGCGAATAAGATTCAGCGCACGATACAACACTGAGAACACACGTGGAACGTGCGAAGAGAGCCGATCGATCGCAATAGTCAGTTTCAGATTTCTCTCTCGTTTCGATTCTCTAGGGCTTCATTCGCTGCATCACGAGACAAATTATGCTTCCTGTTGCGTAACGACTCCTTTGCATCTTTTAAATGTACAATTGCTCGCGCAACTGCAAAACGTGCACTTCGTCGCCTCCCGTCTACGAAATAAAATGATGAACATATACTAAGAGCTATTCTTTCTTGTCCTATTTTCTTATTTTTCTTTTTGTTTTGCTTGTATGCGAGAGTTTACGAAAGCATTAATTATGATGACGACGATTAATATTCATCATTCACTGTTCATGATCACGCACGCAAAGAGGGACAATTAAATGGCGATGAAAATTCGATGTAGGACAAAGAACATGCAACTATCGCTATATATTATCATTGCAATACATGTATAAAAATATGCTTCTAGACGTTATTTAACGTTACAAAAAGATCTGAACACAATAGGCAATATATCATATCGCATTACAACGAAACATTAGTAGATATGTAACATTAACCTAAGCGTTGAACTTGATAATCCAATTCGAATTTACGCGCACACACACAGCATAGAAAATGTCTTAGCATTCTCCCCGTTGAACAAAAGTTTCCCCCCCCCCTCCCCTCCCATTGTAATGCCGAGCAAAGCGGAAATAGTCGGACAGAGTTCCAGCTGTCGTGCGCGAAGAATAAATTTCACGGAGTGACACGCGATAAGTTATCAATTGACACAAGGAGAAACAACACTTGCGAGCGAGAGAAAAGAATTTTAAAGAAAGGAAAAAGGATTGTTAAAACTATTATTCCACTTGGTGACGGACGAAGTTCGTTAGTAAAATCATAAACATAATAAAGTTTTATACGTGAATACACGATTAATATTATATATATATATATATATATATATATATATATATATATATATATATATATATATATATACACATACACACACACACACATATGTATATATACACATATGTATATACACACATATGTATATATACACATATGTATATATACACATATGTATATATATATATATATATATATACCTTTGCATATAACTAGTCAAATATCCTATATATGTTACATATACAATTAGTAACATGTGAGATCTGAGAGCACGACTTCAAAACTCAATCAACAAGCGGGAAACGCACATTCTACTATGATTTTTTGGTTCTCGATTAACGAAATCTAAACGTACCAATGTGTCGGCGAAGACACGTCGGATATGCTAACATCGCGGGATACGCGTTAAAGCTACTATAATGCGTTAACTTATAAGGATAAAGTTGAATGCGTTAACTTATAAGAACAAAGACGTTCGGTGGAAAGGGATGATACGGCGTATGACGCGCGAATACGAGTGATAGTAGTGATAGTAGCAGTAGTAATAATAGTAGTAGTGTTCTCCCTCTTCCTAAGTACCGCTGTAATTGTAAGTGTATTCACCCTGAATAAACTCTCTTCGACGTGTACACACTCCGAGTGACGGGCACGATGCTTCGCGAGACACCGCGAAGTTTGTGCGCGGCGAAGTTACTCTGTTGATTGCACACCGAGTCTCGAGAAGCGTTAATGGAGTTAATGACAATATAGCGAAGCCAGACGAACAATATGACACGGACGTATAAGATGAGGAACGATCGACGAGTTTTCTAAGAGAAGATACCTCCCCACACACACACACACACACATACACACACACACACACACACACACACACAGTTCCACGGGCCAAAAAAAAAGAAAACGTTAAAAGCGGCACTGTCCCCGTAATGAGTGATACAAAAGCCGTATTTGATCATTCAAATTCGATTTTAATAGCAATTCTTTTCTAAACGGTAAATATACATTGCGACACGCGTCGCCAGCAGCATGAACTCGCTGAGAAACGCGTCATGTCTGTGAAAAGTATGTCTTAAATAATAGCGTAAATATGTAAATAGTATATCGCATCTCATTATATAAAACAGGAAAACGAAATTAAAAGAAAAAAGGAGGAAGTGAGCGCAGCTGTCGCGTGATGTAACAAAACCTGGACAATAGACTTCATCGAATTAACAAGATAACAGAGGCCGCGGTTGCATACCTGCAAAAAATTACGATTTATTTCGCTATACGTTTGAATTTTGATTGCCGCGTTTCACAATTTGATTATGTCCAGTGCGCGCTCATGCACTACGGTTATAATTAAATAACAATATCATTACATTGATTCGTTAAGGACTAAAGGAGTAAATCCACTTGCTGATCTGGAAACAAAACGATCACGCGCGCGATTCATAAAAAAGGAAAAAAAAGAAAAATAAACAGATTATAAAATTCCCAGTTCGCGCTTCCCTACACCTCTCTCAAATTTTTGTTCCGTTCAATCACGTTTTACATAATTCAATAATCACCGGGAAAAAAGAAATTATTGAAGCTAACAATCACTTTCGACAATTATCCCTAGTTTGAAAAGTAAAAACACCGTCGGCATCGGCTTGCAATAAATTTCTCATTCGCAGATGTGTTAAAGCGCTAAATGCTCCGCCGTATTTCGCTCATTGTTTTCCAATGCAACTCTTTACAGAGACCCATATAATAAGGCACACTTCTTTCTGCCTGTGAGAAGGCACTGAAATATAACGTCTATATTCATGTATAGTCAATTGCATTGCATACATGTAAATTATGCAAAGGAGAGAGATCAATTCGAAACGAGACACTATTTCATCGAGAATTACCGTGTATATTGTGTATACGTGTATGCTTGCGCACATGTGCACGCGTGTGCATATCTCCCGAGATTTGTACAATTTCGCAATTCTCGCGTGAGAAAATTCGCAGATTTTTCTATTTAATATCGCCAAGGAACGCAATCCTTTACGCTACTTTGGTTGGTTCTCTCTTAACCGCAAAAACTCGCAGATACACGGCCAAGCGTAGAAATAAATTTTGTCCTTCTCCCGCCTTCTCTTTTCACACGCTTGTCGTGCAGTTGATTCTTAATTTTCATTACTTCCGCGACGAGATACAACCGCGCGGATCTCTTTCGAAACGAGGTTCCCTGAGATCTTTGATTTTATTTCCTCTAATTCTAATTGTCGAGACAACAGAACAGAGACTGCATAGCGGAGTGTAAGTAATGATCATTCGACATAAAGACGTTTCTTTCTTTTTTCTCTCTCTCTTTCTCTCAATCTTCTGTGTTTTCCTGTTTTCGGCGTAAGGACCTTTCCGATGTCTTGTCGTTAGAAAGGGAAGTGTCTCTCGAAAATCGTAAGAAACCAATTTAGTTTAATGTACGTTCTCCTCTTAATGTATATAACAATGATATCCTATATGAAATCTATAATGAGTCAGACGTGACGATGAGAGATTAAAATAATATAAATTGACTTAAAATTTCGCGGGCAGACATTAAATGTCGTCCAACTCGCAGCCTTCTCTCCCGACTAAATATCTACTACATTCACTTCCGGGAAATGGGCACGCGATGTGGACAGTCCTGCAGTTCCGTCCGCTTGCGTCTCTTCCGTGTATCGCCCGTCCGCTGCGCGCAGTCCGAAACGGGCCGCTGAGGATGCTCGAAATGTATTCAGAGTCTCGTTTGCACTCCCTCCCCCGCGGCAGTAGGACGATCGCGCTACCTTGGACGGCGGTTGCACTGTCTCGACGTGCGTGTCACGGCCGTACAGTCGTTTACGTGGTAGATTCGATCTTTTCTCCACCGCCGCCGCCGACGACGACGACGACAACAACGATGACGACGACGTGGCAATTGGTAGTTGATGCGTCCTACGAGGGAAACGTTTTGGGAATGGTGATGGCAGGAAAAAGGAAGACGGTGCTAGTACCCATACTCCATCACATTTTGTGTGTGTGCCCTCTCATTATTGCATAAACAAAGGCCTGCTTTAACGGAAAAATCGTCGCGAGACGCTACGATTCCTTATCGATCGATTGCGAGAAAAGAAAGTATTGCGAAGACCAACTCATCGTATCTTGCTTTCCTGTCGTTTTCCTTCTCTCTTTTTATCCCCCTCCCTCCTCTCTCTCTCTCTCTCTCTCTCTCTCTCTAACGCAATCCTTAAGTATATCCTTGATAAACTCGCATAATGGGGAGCAAGATAAACAATTGTGCTAACGTATAATTTCGAATAATGAAAATATCATTAATTAAACAGAGATGCTCTCTGGCGCAGCACTTGAACTGCAGCAAAGGAGTCGTTAGTTGTGGAGAAAATGCGACTGCCGGATCGGTGCACGCCGAGATCGTGTGGCGCGCATCTTTCTCCAGAGACGCGCAGCCCGTGCTTCGACAGGAGGGCTTGATCCCTCATTATTGTTACGCGTTTTCGAATATCACAACGACGAATACACCTGCGACGTTCGGAAAAAGAATGAACGAGAAAAAAACGAGGGCGAGAGAATCTCGAAACGGGGGAGACACGACCGGCCGTGTACCTATCGCTTTCTCTCTCTCTCTTTCTCTCTTTCTCTCTTTCTCTGTAGCTGACACATCGTACGATTGCTAAGCATTTTCGTCTCGGTTTACGGTCGCTTCTCAATCACACAGAAACGTATCGTAGATACGCACAAGGATGACGCACTGACCCGATCGATGTCAGGATTCCCGGGCATTACGAGCGATTAGGAAAATCGACGTCGCGTCGACCAACGCATAGATATATAATAACCCGTAAATACCAGGGATGGTCCTCTTTCTCTCTTTCTCTATCACTCCTTATCACTTTCTCTCCCTCTCCTCATACCCTTCCTTTCCGTTCCCTACGCTCTCCCCGGAGAGAGAAGAATCAGACTCCGTGCGCAGAGAGCGCGGATTACGTCCGTGCCGGCGCGTTCGTTGCGCGCGGACGAACGCATCATCGTGATCGTGGTAATTGAACGCAGCAAACGGATTAACGGCACAACTCAATGGAGCTCGGGCAACGGATCATTAGACATTACCGTGGCCGAAAGCGTCCCTCGGTGCGCTCGGCGAGGATCGCTTCCCTTCCACGGAGAAGCGCGCGGCGCACCCCCGCACGATTCTCCCTTCTCAGCTCGTTCGCCACTGTCGCTTTCACTCTCGCCGAGCCGAAGCTCGGGTCGTCCGTTGGGCGTATGCGCAATCAACGACAACCATCTCGTTGGACATTCGACATACATGCGCCGAACGACGAGAGCGACGGTGGCGGCGGCGACAGCGACGATGACGACGACGACGACAAGGCTCGTCGCCATCGCCAGTAGTGAAGCTCGGAGTCTCGGGTGTAAGCATCTATTTGGTAGGACGAGCGATCGGGTCTTACAGGGAATCGAGATTAAGGATATGGGTACGGATGGTAAAATATTTGGTTACAACTCCATGTCCTGGGCTTCATCCTCGCTGAAGTCGCTCATCGAGGATTCGCTGTCGGAGGACATCCCGTTGCCGGTGCCGCCATTCTCCTGGTCCCTCAGCGCCTCCTCCGTCGCGTACTTCCTCACGTAATCTGTCAAAAAAACAAGTCGGACGGGAAATTGCAGCGACTCGCAGATAACACACTGTATGAGCGCGCTCGCAAATAACACACGCGAAACGAAAATAGCTACGTTAGCGAGGATGTTAATTCGTTACTGATCGTGGAAAGTTGCTTAATAATTTACCGTGTTTTATTGTCGTTATCATTATTGCGATTGCTATTCAATACTCACCCGCTACCTTCTTCTTGTACTCTTCCGGTTTGTGAAGATACATCGCGGCAGCGTCGCCGTTCAGGGGGTCGATTGGATTGGGATATGTTAACAGTTGGGGCAGGAAAGACTCGAAAATATTCGACAAGTCTGAAACAGGAGGAAAAGCACGTTCGTTAATAAACAGCTCAATATTTCAGTTTAATCAGTTGCCCGCAACTTCTTCGCGTTTGTCACCAACACACCCAAAGACTGATTTTAATCATATAATTTGTGAAACTTCCAATTTTCTATTAGCTTCAGCATGCAATGTCAAGTAAGATGAAAGTGCCAATTCCCGGACACGTACCTAATCCTGGACATTCCTATTGTTTTGGTCATTAAATACGGATATTTAAACTTTCAACATGGAATCTATATATACTTAAAATTTGTAAATGTATTTTATGTTAAAAGTTTAAATATTGGTATTTAAAGATCAAAACAAAAAGAATGGATTTGATCTAATCCAGGATTAGATGCGTGTCCGAGCATTGGTACTCTTACCTTAATCTGACGATATACAATGACGAACACATATAACGATACCACGGAAAAATACATAATAGTGCACGATGAATAAAGGAGGATAAACAAGGTAAAAGTACTAATGACTGGACACTAACACAGTATAGCTGGTATAGTATCATTTTGAACACTTTTCTTATTGTTTTGATAACTTTAGTTATTATTTTGATACTTCAAATACGAATATTTAAACTTTCAATGTAGTATAATGTGTACATAAATACATTATATTGTAATAATACATATATATTATAGTGTCCAGGTTTTTAACTTATCTCACCCATACATGACGATGTAATTCGTCGAAAAAAAATTGGAATTAATTTGCACGTTCTGTAAAGCACAGTTAAGTAGACGGCCAAATAAAAATCTCTCAAAGTACTTGGCGCTATTTAAAGGCTTCGTCGTGCGGTTTTACGAGGCCGGACTAATACGTACCGTAAAGGGCTGTCCAAGCCTGGTTTATAACGTCTAGACACACCGTGCCTGAGACTTCGTCAATGTTAGGATGGTAGACCTTGTTCATGAAGCCGATTGAAGGAGACTTGAACGGATAATGTTCTGGTAAGTGAACCCTCACCTTCCATATGCCACCCTCGTAAGGCGCTGCAAACGATTGTGTGAGAGCATTAGTTAATTAATCGTTGCCATCAGACACCCGTTAATCATCACTACACTACTGCTATGGCGACACGAATATCGAAGAACGAAGCGCTCACGATATCCCAAGTGTCGCGGCTCGACTTAGCGCGACGAAAAACGCACCTCTCAACGAATAGAGGGGAGTGAGATTATCAGGATAAATTGGCAAAACCGATTATTTCTACTGTTTTTTAACAGATTTCAGAATCAAGCAAACAGAGATTTCATCTTTGACATGTTTAAAAATCTTGCTTGCTTAATTTTGTAACTTATTAGAAAATACTAGAAATAACCGGTTTTGCTTATCCCGATAGCCAACTAACCCCGGTCTCCTCTACGCCTTAAGACTGCGCGAATATTGCCTCGACGATGGTACAAGTAAAAGGATCCTAAATCTCACCTCGTCCGAAATTCGGGATTTTCCGTGTAACACGAGCAGGCGTAATAATTCGAGCTAGCAATAATACGAGTTATACGCTGCGCGAGCATTATTAATTAGTCACTATTGTGAATTAAAGTAAAAGTACCAATGCACATATGAATACAGTTATAAGTACCAGACTTGTTTCCTCAGCGTATATAAAGTACGATGATGCTCAACGCAGAAACATAGAGTACACTGAAAAAGAGATATTTGAAAATTTATTTGTAGAACGTAAAGCTTATTTCTGAGAAATAAAGTTCATTTTTGTGAGAGAAACAAAGTTTCCTTTGTGAAATAAACTTTTATGTCGCAAATAAATGCTCAAGTATTTTTTCTCAGTGTGCATTGTCTGAAGAGTTTCTGGTAGAGATATTAGAATTTATGAGTCCTATAGCCTCCCCTCCCCCCATCATGAATCTGAAAATACAGATCTCAAGGGCAATAATTGCTGGTTGCACGATCGTTGTATTTTCTGAACGCTCCCACTTTCTTATGGGAAACTCTGGAACGGTACAACTTCGTGTGTGTTAAGGCCATTATGCCGGTATGTGTGCAGCGGGGTGAACAACCGGAAAACTACGTCGATACGACGCGCTTGTCGCCAGGACGAAATTTGCGTTCCGACGTGCACACACCGTGCGGCCGGCAGTCGCGCCAGCGCGATCATTCCTCCTCATCGCGCACCTTTGCCTCGCCTAGCCCGGCAAAAAAACGAACATCAGTCTCGGCCGCGATTCCTGACCGACGTGATTGCACATATACAGTTATCGACGATATGCCATTGGACAGTCTCTCTCCTCTTTCTCTCTCTCTCTCTGTCTCTCGCGCGCGTGCTATCTCGTAATTCACGATAGATCCGAGGAACTGGAACGTCCAACGGTAAAGTCGCGCGCTCCTCTCGGAGTGCCCCTTTCGTCTTTACCGAGGAGAAAATAATGTTCTCGAGCGCGCGAGAAAGGGGAGATCCTTGTCCATTGTTGTTGGGGAAGAGCCCGTGGAAACGCGGCCTGCTCCCCGCGGGGTCGGAAAGTTCGCTAAGAGCTTCCTACCCTCTTCGCGGAGCTTCACGCAATGAACGCGAACGATGGTATCTCGCAACGGTGTCGCAGTGAGAGAACTCTCTTTATGTTTAAACAAGCTTCTCTCTCCTCTCCCTCCTTGCTTTTACTTTATATAAATTACTCTCCATTCGCAAGGACACTTTCCCAAACGACCAAATTTCCCTCTATCCTATTTATAAGCAGATAAAACTGTAAACTTCGAGTGGAACGAGACTGCCTAAGAGTCAGTAGAACCGGAATTTTTTGTTGTTCTAACAAAAAGTAGCAGTAATATTCACTTAGAGTTATCATTATTAACACTCTATGGTAATATTTATTGCAAAGATGCTACTGTGACTAAAATTCTTTCACTGCACCCAGAAGTGGTTGAAATTGTTATAAAATTTTGAAATCAAGATGAGTCAGTATTTTTTTTGCGGATTATCCTCTTATTCGTTATTCTATTCGTATTTTAGAAATTGAAATGTGTTATAAAAAAATGTTCTGCGTTCCTAGCGTAATTTACTACATTCCTTAGCAAGGTAGTCTTTACCGATAATTTACTCCTGCACTGTTGTAGAAAAATTGCACCGGTCGGATAATTGCAAATCAGAGTCGAATCGTCCGGATCATTGACACAAAATAATTCTCGATCAATGCTGTTCTTTTGATTATTATCAAAAGAATTCCAATTTATTATAACGCTTGACATACTAAAGAAAAGCGCTTAGTATTTGTGACTATAATTGCATTGCAAGGAGAGAGAATATTTCATAATTTTCTTCTTCGTGTAAATTCTTTTCAATTTTACTTTTAGTGCAATTTTTCTACAACAGTGCAGGAGTAAATTATCGGTAAAGACTACCTTGCTAAGGAATGTAGTAAATTACGCTAGGAACGCAGAACATTTTTTTATAACACATTTCAATTTCTAAAATACGAATAGAATAACGAATAAGAGGATAATCCGCAAAAAAAATACTGACTCATCTTGATTTCAAAATTTTATAACAATTTCAACCACTTCTGGGTGCAGTGAAAGAATTTTAGTCACAGTAGCATCTTTGCAATAAATATTACCATAGAGTGTTAATAATGATAACTCTAAGTGAATATTACTGCTACTTTTTGTTAGAACAACAAAAAATTAGATCAAGCGGGCGTCGAAGATTACTGCAATTTTAATGAGATTAAACATCTCTTCTTCTCTCAATGCGTTCTTCACGTGAAAGGATAATCAGAACGGGGCTGTGGAATGAGACTGTGCTAAAGGACGGCGCAAAGCTATGCATCGATTTCTCTGACGTAGCGTAGTATAGTAGAAACAGAACGAGACTTGGTGACGCGATTCGTGGCAAGCAAAATCCACCGTCAACCGACCAGTAACGAATTGTCAATTTGCAAGTAGTGCAGAAACGCCTCCGCGACGAATTCGGTACTCGTGTGAAACCGGCAACGCAAGTCTGAGAACGATGACAAACGCAATTCGACTGTAACGCGTTTCTTGTCGCGGCAAATTGTCGTCAGTATCGTTTGTGCCACGCGTTAAGGGGATATTGAGGTCGACGAATCGAACTCCAAAAATGTCGATAAAGTACAGACACTAACACGATCACGATATCCTTTTTGTATTTCTTGTACATATATGTAGACCTTTCGCAAATATATGTTGCTTTATTTTATCGCATTTCTGGGATAAAATCTAACCACGCATATATAGAAAACTTTCTACAAACTTTTTCGATATTTTTAAGCTTCTCGTAGGTGTAAGGGTACAGTAATGTTCTTCGAAATTTTGCTTTGAAATTTTTTTGCGGAGCAATCTCGCATACAAGCTACAGATCTTTTGTATCAGACAAATATTTGCTTCAACTAACAGCATCTGATAGGCTAATTTATCGAAATGTCGACTTTGAAATTTTGTATCGCTTTTGTTATGCATCAATCCACTCCAATGTAATGCTCCAATCCACTCTCGCATATATTTTTAACGTGGAAGAACACTTGTAATTCTGTACAGTTAATGCAACATAAACTTTGCAGAAAAAGGTCTTGTTGGTAGATAAATGAATGATGGAATCTTATCAAAGAATGATGGAATCGGTATTTCGACTCCAACATTCTTTGAATCGCAAGAACGACGGACGGATGAAATAATTGGCGGGGTACCGTGCGACGTTGTAACCACGCATATATAGAAAACTTTCTACAAACTTTTTCGATATTTTTAAGCTTCTCGTAGGTGTAAGGGTACACAGCAATGTTCTTCGAAATTTTGCTTTGAAATTTTTTTGCGGAGCAATCTCGCATACAAGCTACAGATCTTTTGTATCAAACAAATATTTGCTTCAACTAACAGCATCTGATAGGCTAATTTATCAAAATGTCGACTTTGAAATTTTGTATCGCTTTTGTTATGCATCAATCCACTCCAATGTAATGCTCCAATCCACTCTCGCATATATTTTTAACGTGGAAGAACACTTGTAATTCTGTACAGTTAATGCAACATAAACTTTGCAGAAAAAGGTCTTGTTGGTACGCGCGAATACAAAAACGATTAATTTCGGCGGCGAGAAAAGAGAAACGCGCGAGCGAATCGCGTGTGGCGCTGCGATTAATCAATCGGAAATCGAAAGAAACATAGAAATTGGTTTGTATTCCCCTCGCGCGCGATATATTCATCGTGTTCGCGGCTATTTAATTATTCGATAGAAATTGTAACGGTGATGCATGGCCAAACTTGGCGCGCGCACGCGCGTATATAGCGGGGATACTGAAAAATTAAACTGCACCCCGGAGTGCATTTCAATTCCCATTTCGACCAAGAGTCAGAGTCCGCGTCGGAGTAAGACATCTTCTACGTGCATGAAATTCCGCTTCGAATTTGAACATTGAATTATTTAGAGCGTCATGTTCCCCGCTTTCTCCTCGAGACTCAGCCTTCCTCCGGGACCCAACCTTTTATCATTTATAAATATTTCTCGTTGGGACTTGCCGCGCAAACAGCGAGGAGCAGTCAGACAAAGAGATAGATTTACCATGCGGACCTGAGAAGCTTCCCTCAAGCGCAATTAAATTCCAATAAACAAAGACGCAAGACAGGAAGGTTGATACAATGTGATAGAAGAAAATTATAAAAATGAGTGAATATACACATTGAATCTCAATTTGTCAAGAATAGTTCCCCTTAGGAAATGAAAATCTGAAGAAAAGAAAATAAGAAAAAAGAGAGAGATTGCTGGACTTTTTACGTCTGAATAAATCGCAAACGTCGTGAATCAACGTTTTTGATCGCGTCATTTTGTCGACATAACAGCATTAACCTGACTTCATTAACCTTCTACGTATAATGTTGGGACCGTGAGGTTCGAACAAATATTCGATCACTCATTGACTTTCGTGTAGAGTCTGGAAAAATTTCAAAATAGCGCAAATCTGTTTACAGATTGTTTTTATCGCGCCACTATCTTATATCCGAGATGATTTTTATATCTCTG